ATAATAAATTATTGTTTTCTTAAATCGTAAATCGTAAAATTTGATTGTTTTGTCCATATTTAAGATTTATTTTAACATTTGAATCGACTTAGGTATGAATAATTGAATCGTAAGATTTGAATCGTAAATCAAAAGATTTTAAACTCGGTATTGTGAATTTTCGTAAATTCGCAAATACCGAGTTTAAAATCTTTCGGATATTGCAAGAGAGATCCACTTTGGGGTTAAATCTGCAATTTCGGCGGAGCGGCTGGGAATATGGAGTAAGTATATGGGTGATTCTGCAATTTTCAAAACTGTTTCGGCCATGGAGGTGGATTTCCAGAAATTACAAATTGACCCCAACTTGGGGTGGATTTCTTGTTTAAGGACCAAATTAAAAAAAATGTATGTAATATATAGGGACCAAAAATCGTAAAATTTGATCGATTAGTTGATATTTAAGATTTATTTTAACATTTGAATCGGCATAGATAAGAATGAATTGAATCGTAAATCATAAGAGTGTATGCTCGTTATTGCGAATTTTCGTAAATGCGGCCCGATCATAAGAGTGTATGCTCGTTTTTACATTTGAATCGGCATAGATAAGAATGAATTGAATCGTAAATCATAAGAGTGTATGCTCGTTATTGCGAATTTTCGTAAATGTGGCGGATATTTTGGATATTGAAAGAGAGATCCACTCTTTGGGGTCAAATTTGCAATTTCAGCGAGGGAGGTGGATTTTCGGAAATTACAAATTGACCTCCACTTGGGGGCATTTCCGGTTGAAAGGCCGATATTAAAAATGGTATATAATATATGGACCAAATCTGTAATTATAAGATGTTTATTATATATAATATAATAAATTAAAGTTTTCTTCAATTGTAAATTGTACAATTTGATCGTTTTGTCGATATTTAAGATTTATTTTAATATTTGAATCGACTTAGGTATCAATAAATTGAATCGTAAGATTGGAATCGTAAATCATAAGATTCTAAACTCGGTAATGCGAATTTTCGTAAATGAGTCACACGCGATTATAGCTGAGGAGGACTTGAAACATACTGCGTTGGTGGCAGATATTTAAGATATTGCAAGAGAGATCCACTTTGGGGTTAAATATGCAATTTGGGTGGATAGGCTAGGAGATGGAGTAAGTATAGGGGTGATTCTATAATTTTAAAAAATGTTTCGGCCAGGGAGGTGGATTTTCAAAAATTACAAATTGACCCCCATTTGGGGTGCATTTCTGGTTTAAGGACCAAAATTAAAAATAGGTATAATAATATAGGGACCAAAAATCGTAAAATTTGATCGATTTATTGATATTAAAGATTTATTTTAACATTTGAATCAACATAGATATGAATGAATTGAATCGTAAGATTTGAATCTTAAATCATACGATTTTATGCTCGATATTGCGAATTTTCATAAATGTGGCGGATATTTTGGATATTGAAAGAGAGATCCACTTTGGGGTCAAATTTGCGATTTGGGTGGAGCGGTTAGGAAGATTGAGTAAGTGTAGGGGTGATTATGCAATTTTCAGAACTGCTCCAGCTAGGGAGGTGGATTTTCGAAAATTACCAATTAACCTCCACTTGGGGGCATTTTCGGTTTTAGGACCAAAGCTAAAAATGGGATATAATATAGGGACCCAAATAGTAATTATAACACGTTAATTATAAATAATATAATAAATTATTGTTTTCTTAAATCGGAAATCGTAAAATTTGATCGTTTTGTCGATATTTAAGATTTATTTTAACATTTGAATCGGCTTAAGTATGAATAATTGAATCGTAAGATTTGAATCGTAAATCATAAGATTTTAAACTCGGTATTGCGAGTTTTCGTAAATAAGTCACCCGCGATTATAGTTGAGGAGTCGAAGCATACTGCGTTGGTGGCAGATATTTCGGATATTGCAAAAGAGATCCACTTTGGTGTTAAATTTGCTATTTGGGTGAAACGACTGGGAAAATGGAATAAGTATAGCGGTGATTCTGCAATTTCCAAAACTGTTTCAGTCAAGGAAGTGGATTTCCAAAAATTACAAATTGACCCCCACTTGGGGTGCATTTCTTGTTTAAGGACAAAAATTTTAAAAAAAATGTATGTAATATAGGGACCAAAAATCGTAAAATTTGATAAATTTGTTGATAGTTAAGATTTATTTGATAAATGAGTTACACACGATTATAACTGAGGAGGAGTCGAAGCATACTACGTTGGTGGCGTATATTGCAAGAGAGATCCAATTTGGGGTCAAATTTGCAATTTAGGTAGTGCGGCTGGGAAGATAGAGTAAGTATATAAGTGATTCCGCAATTTTCAAAATTGTTTCAGCCAGGGAGGTGCACTTCCAAAAATTACAAATTGACCCCCACTTGGGGTTCATTTTTGGTTTAAGGATCAAAATTAAAAAAAAAAAAGGTTTAATAATATAGGGACCAAAAATTGTAAAATCTGATCAATTTGTTGATAATTAAGATTTATTTGAACATTTGAATCGATATAGATATGAATGAATTGAATCGTAAGATTTGAATCGTAAATCATAAGATTGTATGCTCGTTATTTGAACATTTGAATCGATATAGATATGAATGAATTGAATCGTAAGATTTGAATCGTAAATCATAAGATTGTATGCTCGTTATTGCGAATTTTAGTAAATGTGACGGATATTTTGGATAGTGAAAGAGAGATCCACTCTTTGGAGTCAAATATGCAATTTGGGTGTAGCGGTTAGGAAGATGGAGTAAGTATAGGGTTGTTTCTGCAATCTTCACAACTATTTCAGCCAGAGAGGTGGATTTTCGGAAATTACAAATTAACCTCCACTTGGGGGGGCATTTCAGGTTAAAGGACCAAAATTATAAATGGTATATAATATAGGGATCAAAACTGTAATCATCACAAGTTTATTAAAATTAATATAATAAATTAAAGTTTTCTTATATCTTAAATCGTAAGTTGATGGTTTTGTTGATATTTAAGATTTATTTTAACTTTTGAATCGACTTGGGTATGAAGGGATTGAATCGTATGATTTGAATCGTAAATCATAAGATTTTAAACTCAGTATTGCGAAATTTCGTAAATGAGTCACAAGCGATTATAGCTGAGGAGGAGTAGAAACATACTGCCTTGGTGGCGGATATTTCGGATATTGCAAGAGAGATCCACCTAGGGGTTAAATTTGCAATTTAGGTGGAGCGGCTGGGAAGATGGAATAAGTATAGGGGTGATTCTGCAATTTTCAAAATTGTTTCAGCCAGGAGGGTGAATTTCCAAAAATTACAAATTGACCCCCACTTGGGGTGCATTTCTTTTTTACGGAACAAAATTAAAAAAAAAAAAGGTTTAGTAATATAGGGACCAAAAATCGTAAAATTTGATCAATTTGTTGATATTTCAGATTTATTTTAACATTTGAATCGACGTAGATATGATTGAATTGAATCGTAAGATTTGAATCGTAAATCATAAGATTTTATGCTCGTTGTTGCGAATTTTCGTAAATGTGGCGGATATTTTGGATAGTGAAAGAGAGATCCACTTTGGATTCAAATTTGCAATTTGGGTGGAGCGGAAAATGGAGTAAGTATAGGGGTGATTCTGCAATCTTCACAACTATTTAAGCTAGGGAGGTGGATTTTCGAAAATTACAAATTAACCTCCACTTGGGGGGGGGGGGGGGGGGGATTTCTGGTTTAAGGACAAAAATTAAAAAAATGTATTTAATATAGGGACCAAAACTGTAATTATCATAAAAATAATATAATAGATTAAAGTTTTCTTAAATCGTAAATCTTAAACTTTGATCGTTTTGTTGATATTTAAAATTTATTTTAACATTTGAATCGACTTAGGTATGAACGAATTGAATAGTAAGATTTGAATTGTAAATCATAAGATTTTAAACACGGTATTGCGAATTTGCATAAATGAGTCACACGCGATTATAGCTGAGGAGTAGAAGCATACTGCGTTGGTGGCAGATATTTCGGATATTGCAAGAGAAATCCACTTTGGGGATAAATTTGCAATTGGGCTGGAGCGGTTGGGAAGATGAAGTAAGTATAGAGGTGTTACAGTCAGGGAGGTGGATTTCCAAAAATTACAAATTGACCCCCATTTGGGGTGCATTTATAGTTTAAGGACCAGAATTAAAAAAATATATAATAATATGGGGACCAAAAATTGTAAAATTTAATCGATTTGTTGATATTTAAGATTTATTTTAACATTTGAATCAACATAGATATTAATCAATTGAATCGTAAGATTTGAATCGTAAACCATACGATTTTATGCTCGGTGTTGCGAATTTTCATAAATGTGGCGGATATTTTGGATATTGAAAGAGAGATCCACTTTGGGGTCAAATTTGCAATTTGGGTGGAGCGGAATTTTCAGAACTGTTTCAGCTAGGGAGGTGGATTTTCGGAAATTACCAATTGATCTCCACTTGGGGACATTTCCGGTTTTAGGACTAAAACTAAATATGGTATATAATATATGGACCAAAATAGTAATTATAACACGTTAATTATAAATAATATAATAAATTATTGTTTTCTTAAATCGTAAATCGTAAAATTTGATCGTTTTGTCGATATTTAAGATTTATTTTAACATTTGAATTGACTTAGGTATGAATAATTGAATCGTAAGATTTGAATCGTAAATCATAAGATTTTAAACTCAGTATTGCGAATTTTCGTAAATGAGTCATGCGCAGTTATAGTTGAGTCGAAGCATACTGCGTTGGTGGCTGATTATTCGGATATTACAAGAGAGATCTACTTTGGTGTTAAATTTGCTATTTGGGTGGAATGGATGGGAAGATAGAGTAAGTATAGCGGCAATTCTGCAATTTTCAAAACTGTGTCAGTGGATTACCAGAAATTACAAATTGACCCCCACTTGGGGTGCATTTCTTGTTTAAGGATCAAATCTGTAATTATTCAAATTGTTACTCGGAAACAGTACAAACCTAAAAACAAAACTTAAACGTACGCCACGAACATGATAGACGATTCAAAAAATTATGCGACATACAATCAAATTTTTGGTTTTCAATTTTACCAAGAGGTATGAAAATACGAGAAAGATCGGATTACAAGTGTCGACATACATAAAGCTGTTAATACCTTCAAGTGATTGAAATCTTCTTGTAATCTGATATATAGGAAATTGAAAAACAAGAAGAAAATAATAAATGGGAAACAGAGAATGAATATGAGGTGAACGTGTGATTCCTCACCCGATTTTGTTGCATTCAAAAGTTCTGAAAATGCAATTATACGATCCAGGTTGCTTAAATTAAAGACCTAATAGCCCCAACTACGAAAACAAATATTCATAGAAGAGAGCGAGGGCTTTTTGCGATCGAGCAGCGATTTCATCCACTTTCCTCAACAAAAGAAACAATCATAGAAGGAAATAGGGAAGGCCTTTTGAGATCGAGCAGCGATTCATCCACTTCCCTAAAGCACCAATATGCGCAGAGAAAATTGGAAAATATGAGAACACAAATCGAAAACCGCCGGAATTTATGCCTCGTGTGTCCAGTCGACGGAGGCCGGGAAATAAGGAGGTGGTGGAGAGAGGGAGCGAAAATTTTGAAGGATAATGTACAAGAAGTAAATCGTAAGGAAAAAATACAAATGAAGTCCAACGTCAAACGAAGTCGTCGGAAGCGGAAAGCTACTCGTCAGAGTGGCGCCGTCTACAGATGTGGACGAACTCAACTCCAGCTGAGAATTCACTCGGCCAAATAAAATCAGCTATAAGAAGTAAACTTCACTGGAAGACATCAATATAATTCTTGAACAAGCGGCAAACCTGTATACGAACAGAGAGAGCAACAGCAAATCGAAGCCGAAACACCAAAAAAGGGCTAACCTGTGATTGAACATAGAAAAGACGAAGAAAAAGAAAACAAAGGAAACAATGGTTGGGAATGAAGAAAGTAATAAAATTAGATTGGTTGAACACAAAAAAGAGAAAATTACAGGAAAATAGAAGAGAGTCGCCTGCACCAGGACTCAACCTTTGGAAGCCATAAGCAAAGAATCCTTGCATAAGAGGCATCGTGCTGCTTCATCTCCTATATCTATGTGTAAGGGAACTAAAACTTAAACCCAAATAGGTTTTATAAAGGTGTTGAAATCAAACAAATCCAAATGCTAGAAGAACACATTAACCAATTACACCGGTGTATATTCTGCAGATCATTTCAATATTATCATACCCTACTCACCATACCAGAACATTAATCATAGAGAAGTAAAACAAACTTTCACCTTTCCCCTCTTCTACCAGCAAATTTACTTAATTTTTATTTCTCAAACGACTAAATGGCTATGTTCTCCCTTTCCTTCAGTTCTTCAAACTATCCAACTTGCGTGAAAAAAAAAAATATATATATATTTATATAGGCAGAAAAAATCCCCAAAATAAATGGAAAATGAAAAATTACCTCGTACCAAGACATATACAAATAAAACGCAAAACACACAGACGATTCAATCTGCTGTTCAGGCCTCACCTGACCGATCGCAAACCTTAAACAAAACGAATTTGAGCGAAAAGGTAAAGGCTGGTTTAAAAAAATATCTAAATATATTTTTGTTGAAAAAAAGAGAGTGCTTAAGTTGAAACCGATGAATGAATTTGAGTAGAAGGAGACGATAACAGTGAAAGCTAGGTTTTCTGTAATAGATAACTTATTGAATCCAAAAAGTGGGAAAAACGAAATTGGATTAAAGATAAGGAATAAAAGAAAAGGGAAAAGAAGGAGCAAGAACGTCGATCAAAGACCTCTCGAAAGAAAAATGAAGAGAAAAGACAGGAATTACGCAATTGGAGGAGACAAATATACACAGATGACGATGACATAGCAAAAATTGTTAAATTGGACAAATTTACTTCGATTTCCAAGTAAATAATGTCTCCAAGTTTGTTGATACCTTCAAATCCATGTTGAACTGTACATTAGGAAAATCCTCGTTAAAGAAATAAAATTTCCGAATATTATTTTATAATTGAAAAAAAGAATCCCAAATCTTCAATATCTGTTCCAATCTGATGAAACATATAACACGAAGAATTAATACAACATCCAATAACGAAGACGGGTTTTTTTTTTTTTAATAATTATTATTAATGCGCGGACAATCATCAGGCTCACCGAAGCAATCTAAGTAGTCATCCTGAACAGATATGTCAAAAGTATAAAAATGATGAAGTTTGTTAAAAACAAGTTAGTTGCGCAGACATCTCTCGTGCATGCAAAAACTAACACATGTACATACATTCAAGTAACCACATAAAAATTCGAAAACAGTTGAAAGATTCAAACAAGTCGCACAGAAAATACGAAAAATGTCCTGCAAGAAAACTGTGAAAGAAAGATAAATCTTGATCATCTTGATATGTAAGTAACTTTATTAATGGCTTTCACAGGTTTGGTTAACTAATGAAAACCAGAGATTGCATAACCTATTTTCTTAATGATTTTCCGACACAAAAATGTGGCAGACAAACTCACCTGTACTTGAAAGTAGATTCCCATATCAATAAGCACGTTTTGCACGGTTACATGGTTGTCTAGGTCCTCACCAGCCATGAGCAATGCGCATGCAACCTATAAAAATATAAGAGATTTAAAACTGAAACACTGTTCGTCTTTTGATAAAGGTTAATTAAGCGAAATTACAACATATCACACTGACTGGAAGGTAAAATGAGTAGTAGGCAGTCTTGTACTGAACAATGCGGCGGTGAGTGCAGAAATCAAACCAGAAAATCTTAAAGACCAAAAAAAGACGAGAAGGAAAATAAGTCTAAATGTTGAAAACTGTTATAATTGGTTCGGCATACTACAGCAGGCTTGAAATCGTTCAAAGGGCTTGGTTTATGGAAGGACCGGACTTGATAATTAAGGTAATGCTGATCTAAGTAGTTATTTTGTAACTTTATTTAGACTATCTTTTTTTTCTTCAATGTCAGAAGTTTGAGTATTTTATACTCACAGTGGTAATGAGTATTTTGACAAATCCTTTTCTCCTTCAATAGTGGTAATTAAATCTATCATCTGTCCTGAGGCAGTTTGAAATTCAACCTGAAAACAGGGCAAATATTGAATTCAACAATTGCAAACAAATAATTTTGTTGGATCATCATAACTGAGTAGTTAATTTACCTCATTGAACAAATCAAGCAGATCCACATAGAAGAGACTTACTGGATTGTTTCTAAGATCCAATATGTACGATTGAATACCTTGACTCTCCACCTCATGAACCGTATTCTCCATCTCCAATGCTGCGGTCTATATAACACGATCGAAATTACCTTTTTACCCTCGTTCGTCAATAATACGGCTAAATTCTATCGATTTTCATGAGTTGAAAAATGCTCGAGAAAATGAAATACCTGAGAAAAAGTTGCTAATTTCACATATCCCGTCTTCGATAAATGTCCATCTGACAATTTGTGAGGAATTATAGCACTCGATATCGGCGAAAGCTTGATTACTTCACGGGGTATATTAACCTCTCTGATATAAGAACTCCCGAAGTCATCAACCTGGATAAACATAAATGCACCAATGAAGTTCAAAATTAATTAACCAGCTTTCACAATCGACATTTACAATTATATTAAAAAAAATTATTCGAAAAACAGTATTTATTTGTTAAATGCAAGTGAAGTGTTCTTACGGTGTGAACTTTTACTGTAACAGTTGTTCCGACATGTCCCCTGAGCTTTTGTGCAGCTGCTTCACTTGCCACTCCGTCGAGTCTTTTACCTATTATGCACCACAAAAAAAAAAAAAAAAATCATCAAACCGATTATTAGAAATTTTGTTTATTATTTTTTATTAAAACTATTGTTCTAGTTTATTAAGTACTAATGTAAATTACCGTTTATTTCCATTAGCTCATCTCCTTCGCGTATACCAGCTCGCGCAGCTGGGCTACTCTTTATGCACGATAAAACAACTTGAAATAAAGTAAAATAGAAAATCACATGCCAATCTTGCGAAAAAAAAAAACTTCATAATTAACCAAAAAAATAAAGCAAATCAATATTCGATATTATAAAAAAAAAAGTACGGAAATGCGTAAAGTCAACCCACCACGTGTCCTGTCTGCGGTTGAACGTTGATAAATAAGCCGACACCTTGCAAATTTCCATCGCTTCCTATTCTAAAACTTTGATATTCCTGCATGTAACAAATATATATATATATATATATATATATATATATATATATATATATATATATATATATATATATATATAGACACACACACACACACACAGCCCATTAATGTACGAAAAATGGATCATAAGTAAAATTTGAATTAATTAATTAATTAAGACAAGAAAAAAAATACCTTACGACTGATTATGCGCGTAAAAGGATCTGTAACAGTCGAAAGCGTCCCTTTGATTTTATTATACGCAGCATCTTCTGATGTAAGTGGAAACATTTCGACCATCGTTTGTTGTAATTTTAAGTCCTAATCTGTAAAACATAAGTCCCCTTCGAATTATTAGTTCATTGATTCGGACAAGGATAAAACCGATAAACAACAAGCACGAAGCTCTCATCCTAATGTTGGCAACTATTGATTCAAGGACACAACTACATTCATTTTCAAAACTTGAAAAACTAATCAAACGAAAGAAGTTCGACGAGGGGCATTTTGGTCTTTCTTACCCTGATGATTGAAAGTTGGATCCACAAAGGTTTCTCTAATAAAACCCCATGCCTCCACAAGTGTTCTTTGTACAGTATTCACCTGTTTCAAAACAGAAGTAAGAGTCTGATTAAAATAATATTTAGTAATATGAAATAAATAAATAAATAACTTCTTTTTTGTAAAATATTACCTCACGGTTGTGAGAAACAGGAAAAGCTACAATCAGTGATTCAGCAAACGCCGGCGAATCACAGAGCAACGACACGGCGGCGGCGAAACCGAGCAATCCTCGGCCGACCCTTTTAATCAAATCTTTGTTTTCAGCTGTAAAATATTGAATATCGGCTTGTGGGCAGATGTTCTTATTACAGAAAACGAGGTTCGGAGAAAGATGATTATTGTTTCTTCTCCGGCTGTTGAGACTCGATAATCTGAAAGAAGAGAAGAGATTTGAGTAGGGTTTTGAGTGGAATTTGGAGAGCAGTGAGATATTCGACAGGGCGGAATCGAGATTAATTCAGTTGCTAATTGAAACACAATCAGGGAAAAAATGAAAAGAACAAAAGGAGTATATTACCTTCACAAAAGAGAGTATCGGACAAAGGGGCGGACACAAGAAATAACGAATCACAATTTTGGATGCTTTGGATGTGGACGAAAATGGGTGAAGTGCAATTGGTGGAGAATTGAGGTGGAAGTAAAGTTGTTGGTCTAGTGGGGGGGGGGCGTGAAGCTGCTGGGGCTGTAGTCAGAAATTGTAGGCCGCCGACCACCGTGCGGGGCCCAACATTGGTCAGGGTGGCGTTGGTCGCCGATCAAGTCGACGGTGGCGGGCGGCAGTTGGCGGCAGCAGAAGGTGAAGGAGGAGGACAAAGTGAGGCTGAAGGTGTGAAACGGCGTCGTTTTACGAAAAGCAGAATTAAAAAAAAATAAGAAAAAATGAAGCAAGCAGGACACGGTCAAGCTGCTTCAAAAATAAAAGGAAAAGAAAAGAACAGAAAAGACTTATTGGACCGACGGAAAGAAACGACACAGTTTCAATATTAAATGGGCCAAAAGAAAAGGAGAAAGAATGGGCCTAAAGAAAAGGGTTTTTCCCCATATATATATATATATATACTAGTCTCGAAGCACCGCACAAGGTGCGGTGTCGGTGCCCAGTTAATTTTCTTCATAAGGTATAAATTTCGATTTCTTTTGAACTATTAATATTTGCTTGATGAAGCACTACCTCAATCTTTTCTTCCTAGCGTAAAATCGTGTTAGATTATTGTTATATGGTATGGAATGCAACATTAAAACCGGCAAAGTAACCGGCTAAATTTGTTCCATGTATCTTAGAGAGGAAGGAGAATTGTCATGTCAAGAATCAAGAAGAACGCAGGTTCAGTTAGATAAAAGAGCGAGCTAAAACATCGTCAGAAGGCGGAAATGAAAATTTCCACATACTGCATAAACAAATGTACATGGGCATCAAAATCCATACAATAATGCCATAAAAGTTTAAGAACCTCCCGACATACGTCTGGCAGCACCGATGATGCACTCTTGACGTTGCCAATTAAGCATGCACCCACTCAAACCCTGTTCCACAACTGCTAACTAAGTATTAAAGCAAATAAATGCAGCACGATCAAGCATACAAATAAATGTGACATGTAAGCACAAATAAGCAGGCAGGCGATTCAATGAAATACATGCGAACACATAAAGAGCTAACAATTGAAAGGTAATTACGAAAGGAGGAGACGAAAAAAAACAAACAAATGCCTGATGGACGCAGGCTGAAAGAATTGCCATTTTCATAAAACATAAATTTGAGAAAAACGAGGAGGTAAAATAGCTGCACAATAATGAAAACGAAAATTCCACGAATAAAAAAATTCCAAAGGGACAAGGACTTCCCGACACTAAGACGAAAAAACACATAACTGAATCCACGGCGAAAAGCAGGGCGTAATGTACAGAGCCAAAAGCTGAAAAATGTGCCAACCAATGAGGTAATTCACCGAAAGATGCACGGCTGGCCAAGAGCACAATCCACCAAATCCATATGAGCATCTAAATAGCTAAGAACTGAAAATGAGAACCAAAGACATATACCGTCCAACACACCTATCAACCGAAAGATTATTTATTTTAATTTGTGTAGCAATTCAAACAGTAGAAAACATAAAAGAAATTCTTTGAAGAAATTTAATAAAGGATATTTCATTTCATTTACCCAGAATTGAGGGAAGGGTAACCTTTATTTTCTTCCTTTCTTGCTGAACTCCCATAATGGATGTATCAAGCCCCATTCTGCATTTACAACACCTACTTCGTTTAGATTAATTTCACCTCTGTAGCACCATTATTGCTATGTTTTCCTTCAGCAGAGGTCCACCAAGACGTAACCTTCGGTCAAATGTATGATCCCCGTACCTGAAACAAATGAGTTATGTTTGGCATCTCCATCATGATTTGAGCAAAAGACAAAAAAAAGGCACACGTAAAAAACTCGAAATTTGCCTCAACTGAAAAAACATCTCCCACTTCGTTATTATGTCGTGAATGCAGATTGCACTTATGCGCACACCCACTAATGCAGAAACAATCCAATCTACATGTAGTACAGTAGAGCAGGAACCTTTATCAATTCAATAACAAAAAAAAAGAACCTATTCTCAATACAAGCCTAGACCACCTAAGCAAAATTTCTAAATCTTATCGTACTCTTCGATCATTACTATCATCAATCCATCACCGATCATTAGATTCTAACTACAAAGCCACAACTAAATTCAGTCCATAAAAAATACGACGTTAGAACTTGATCATAGGATATACCTGCAAGATGAACAACACATGCCATCTTTTCCGGCGATACGAATTTTGGGGAAACGAAAGCAACCCTTGCAGTGTGACTCTTGGGCGGCAATGCATTTAGAAGCTGCTCATTACAAGGTGTCCAAAAACCCCTTCTCTAAGACAAGCAGTTTTTATTTCCCAAACAGTTTTCCAAATAGACTGAACCAAAGTTGGAGGCCAATTTTGGGATTCTAATTCAGGAAACAATTGCTTAATCATTCTCTCTAAAAGCACAAGCTTTGAATGCGAAGCTGGAGAAAAAAGAAAACTAAATTGGGGGCACATACTACATAACGGAGGCGAGGTTGTCGTCCGCGCAGGCGGCGGATTGATGCTCGCCGACGCTCGGAGCGGCGAGCCCCTCTCGATTGCGTCTCGTGGTCGGCGATCGCGGGGCGGTGGTACAAGAGCTTTTGAGATCGGCGGCGCCGAAGAGAGGTGAGAGGAGGAGATGTTCTCACCTCTGTTTCTTCCTCGAATGCCCACCAAGTCTGCTGCCTCCTCCATTGGAGAATGAAAAAAGAAAAGAAGGAAAAGCAAAAAGAAATTCAGCAAACGGGGCCACACCGATGATTTTCGGAATCGAGCTGCTTCAAAAAGAAAAGAATGCTGGCTTGTGATTGGAGGAAGAGAAAGGAACGGCGCCGTTTAGGTAGTAAAAGGGCTGAAAGAAAAGAAGAAGAAAAATAGAAAATGGGGAAAAAATGGGCCCCCACCTCCCAAGACATATATATATAATGATATATATATATATATATATATATATATATATATATATATATATATATACAGGTAAAGTTCATTTTACCTGCCTAAATTATACCTAACGTATAAAATACCCCCCTCAACTTTGAAATGAACCAAAATAGTCCCTCTGAATTTTGAGTCAACGTTAAAACCGTTACAATTTTTAACTCCGTTAGTTTTTTATGTGTTTTTACATTTTTGTCCAGTCATATTATCTCTCCAACTTTTTCTCCCTCATCCTTCATTTTCTTTCTTTCTTTCTTCTTCGTCACTTTTCTTTCTTTCTACAGAAGTGATGTTCATCAAACACATCACCATTGTTCCTCTTCTCTCTCTAGTACCATGACCCATTAAACAATAAAACCTACTTTCACACATCTGAAATTAAAAATTAGCTCATTTTTTTCCGGCGGGAGTTCAAGCTTCTCACAAACCCCTATTTGGGTTTTCGTTGGCGGTGGCGACCGGAAAAAATGAAATCCAGAAGAAATTTGAACTCTTCGTTGCGAAACCAGCGCAGCTCCGACTTCGCTCCGCCCTACACGGCCAAGATGTCGGCGGAATCCGACGAAAACATCAACCCGTTTCTTGTGTGCCCCAATTTCTGATTTTGTGACCTTCTTAAAAGGGATTTGTATTGGGTTTCTCTTTGGTTTTCCTCCGAATTCGTTTCTCACTGGCACTTGTTCTCCAGGAATTTGAATCTTGAAGAATTCAAATTGGGTCGTGATATGGTGCAGCTGCGAAGGAGATAGGGTCTGACCAAAGCTAATTGGATTAGGACTTCTTTTAATTATATTGATTACTTTACTTTTTTACTCAAAAAAAAAAGATTACTTTACTTTTAAAATTAGATTTCGGTTTAGAATAAAAATTAAATATTGATTCACAGTTTATTTTAACTATTTATTTATTTGACGAAAAATAAAAATTAAATATTTAATTGCATTAACTAATTCACAAAAACCCCTCTAATTAGACCATATATGAAAGTACTGCAGGGGTAAAATTGTCCGGAAAAAGCCACTTGTCATGCCACTGGATATAATTTAAAAAGTCAATGTGCCATGTCAACAGAGGTGGATGGATTTGGTTTGATACATTTTGAAGTTTATGGGTGTATTTTATACGTTGAATATAGTTCAGGTAGGTAAAATGAACTTTACCCTATATATATAGGGGTAATATGCCAGGAGTCCCTCAAACGAAACTTAATTTGCACTAAATGACAAATTCAAATCAATTTTTTTAATTAAATCCTTAGTTTGAAATAATATATGAACCACATCCCTATTTATAATCTGACTTAATTTCGAATTTTGTGAGTGAAGGGCATTTTTGGAATGAATTTTGATAAAGAATGTGAATCAAATTTTAATTAGGGATGTCATTTAGTTCTAATAAAGTTTGTCACCAGGGACTTATATCTTAAGACCCCATATATATATATATATAATGATGGGGAAGGGGGTGATATAGTATTTAATCAAAAAATATTTCTCAAGTAGGTCCTAATATTTGTAGATCTAAGGTAAAGACCATCCAACCTATTATCTTATTTTCTCGTAGAAAAAAATCACAAACTGTATGTGTGGGATTACCACACCATAACTAAAGCATTTGAAAAGTAAGCAAAAATAAATAATGAGAATGATTTTTTATATGCAGATTTCTTAAAAGAAAATCAATTCCGTGATGACATAGCTAATGTTATGTGGGCACTTCGAAAAATTATTTGGCCTATTATATTATTTGTAGATCTTATGCTGGGTGAATTGTTTAGAACCTTAAAATTAGTCCTTATTTGTAGAACTTATTTGTAGACGTTATGCTGTCTGAATTTGTAATAGTATATGTTATTTGGATTGTCTTATTAGAATATTATTTCTTAGTTTGATAATATTTAGAATGTTACTGGAATAGTATTACTTATTCCTATATGCAAATTTTTTTTATGCAGATATTTTTTTATGTCAAACTCATATATGAAGATTTTATTATCTCGAACTCATAAATGCAGATTTTTCTTATGCACACTAATGAGATTTTGGTGTAAATTTCGTAACTAACCTATTATCTTATTTTCTCGTAGAAAAAAAATCACAAATCGTATATCCACGATTACCACACCATAACTAAAGCATTTAAAAAGAAAGTAAAATGAAAAATGAGAATGATTTCTTATATACAGATTTATTAAAAGCAAAATCAATTATGTGATGAGATAGCTAATTCTATGTGGACACTTCGAAAAAATATCCGGCGTACTATATTATTAGACCTTATGCTGTGTGAATTGTTTAGAACCTTATTTGTAGACGTTATGCCGTGTGAAGTTGTAATATTATATGTTATTTGAATTATCTTATTGGAATATTATTTCTTATTTTGATAATATTTAGAATGTTACTGGAACAACATTACTTATTCACACATGCTGATTTTTTTTATGCATTTTTTTTTTATTTCGTACTCGTATATGCAGATATTTTTCTTATGCAGACTAATGGCATTTTGGTGTAAATTTCATAACTAACCTATTATCTTATTTTCATCGTAAAAAAATTGACAAATCATAAGTCCACGATTACCAAACCATAACTGAAGCATTTATAAAAGCAAGTAAAAATGAACAATGAGAATGATTTCTTATATGCAGATTTCTTAAATTCAAAATCAATTTCACGGTGACATAGCAAATGCCACGTGGGTACATCGAAAAAATATTTGACCTATTATATTATTTATAGACCTTATCTGAATTGTTTAGAACCTTATTTGTAGTCCTTATTTGTAGACCTTATTATAATAATAATAATAATAATAATAATAATAATAATAATAATAATAATAATAATAATAATAATAATAATAATAATAATAATAATAATAATAATAATAATAATAATAATAATAATAATATGATTTTTTTAAAGTATTGTTTTTTTTTTTTTTTTTTTTTTTATATCCATATGTTTTTGCACTGTTAATAACTAGCTATTATATTATTTTATGTTTTTGTTCTTTGTTCTTCATGTATTCTTTATTTGATTATTTTATATGTTAATTTTGTTGTTAATCCTTGCTATTAATCTTTGTTGTTCTGATTTTGTTTCATTTCTTTTTTGTTTTTTACAGAACCTCACCAATATTTTGGATAATATGCAAAAAGATTTTTTCAAGACTGGACAAGATGGTGAAATATCCTACCGATCTATTGTTTTAAATTAACAATGTGACATACAAAATGTTGATATAAACGTGTTTGTTTTTTGATTGTGTAATTTATTATGTGAATTTAGTTTATTTTTTTATTTGAATAATTGTAAACAATATATTAATTTTCCGGTTATGTGTATTTTGTATTTTTGAAAATAAATTATATGATATATTCAAATGAATAAATGTGCTCTTCAATTTCGTTCCATTTGAAATTTAGTTCCATTTGATCTAATTCGAGTTTTCTGTATGACATTGATTTTCAAACGACTAACAAGTTTTAAATAAATACAATTACGTGATATGAGATACAACTTTCTTTCTATTGAACAATGCATTTTACATTTAAACTTTGCTATAATTCAACATAAAAATATTTCAACATAAAAATATTTTTCAACATCCTATAAATGTATAAATGGAAAAAAAAATATAAATAAAATTGTAATGTAATAATTACTTAGTATACATATCATTCATTTGATATATCATGCATTTTAAATATTTTTTCAACTTAAAATCGTAATTTAATTATAACTTAAATATATTTAAAAAAACTTAAATCTATTTCTTTTTATTCACATGTTTAATATGGAGTGTTTTTTCTATAATTATTTTTACGACATTTCAAGAAAGAAGAATCCTATGCAGATTATGTATCATTGTGTGGATCACTAGAGGAAAAATTTCCTTGGTCGGAGTGGATGATTTACTATATTTGCATATCATGTTATTTATTTTGGTAATAATAATTTTATTTCATATGCAGCAATATTTGAGATAGTGTTAAAAGTTTTTTGTTTGATATATTATATATATAACTAGAACGTAATCAATTATATTGAATTAGTCGATATATACATAAAATTGATGGACGTTGGTTGTCGGTGTATCTCATATTTTATTATATATCAATTATTGTTGTTTTTGTTACATTAATTTTTATATATTTAATTATTATATTTGTGTTCCAGTGCCTACCTTTTTCTTACCTGATAAAAACGTTGGAAAAGATTTTCGAAAAATAACTATTTACAACATTAAATTTTAATCATATTAAGTTGAGTAAATCTTTTCTTTAAATATTAGCGTAATGTAATATTAGATGTAATCACTATTAATATATAGCATTAGACATATGATATTATACATTTTTATGTGTAACGACATACAACTATAATGCGATTTATATCTTCTCATTTAAGTATATTATTTTTTGAATTATATTTAATTTTAAGTTATTTATACCGATGTTGAATACATTGTCAG